TCATAAGACCGGAACTGACCCCCGACATACCAATCAATACATGTCTAAATTATATTGACCAAATAAGCAACTCTGGAGCAAATGGAGCGCACCAACATCTTCAAGTGGGATGTGTATGAAGCAGAGCAGGTTCTCTATCTGGTTCTTTACAACAAGTTTGTTAAATCATCAAAACCCAAGAAGCATAAGGTTAAGTAAAACCCATCAGACGCGTATTGTTTGGTACGGAGAGGCCCTGTCCCAACCTTTATGTTAAGTGTGTACTCTTAGAGGCTTGTTGATAGCATCCTAGGAAGCTCAACTCTATTCAAGTAAAAGGATGAAGCTTTGGAATCTCAATGAGACCCTTTAACAAGATGTCAAGCTAAAGAGTTGCAAAACAAGGTCATTAGGCTTCAAGTGCAAATAAAGAAGTTATTAATTGGGAGGAAGAAGAGCTCAAGGATAAAGGTTGTGAATTAGCTAGGTGTTACAATTGTTTTAAGGCTCAAATTTATGTCCAAGAAGAGGAGTATTGGATCCCAAGAGACATCCTTTGAAGAAGGTCCTAATCAGTCCACTTTTGGACCAATTTGGCACCTAAAATGTGCCCAAACTTGCAGTCCATGAAGTCCTACATAAAACCACATTTTTATAACATAAAAGGGACTTACTTGATGTCCAAGAAAGGTACAATAGTCGTGCTAGATGTTGAGTACAAGTTGGTGCCAAGTTGCTTGCAAATTTCCTTCAAGATTTTCAAAATTCTATCCAAGATTGGTTTGAGACTTATTTCCATATATTTTGGTACTATATTTATTGCTTTCCTAGTTAGTTAAGGTTATGTTTTTCTTTTACTAAGATTTTTAGAATCACTTTCCAAGAATGACTTGGTTTTTGCTTCCTAGTATTTTAGTTTTCCTAAGGTAGTTGAACTTGTTGTCCAAAGTAGTTTAGGACATTATTTTCTTATTTTTAGGCTTAATTTCATGACCCCTACTACCTATATAAGGGGTGTCTTCTTTGTTTTTAGACTTAGATTATTCAGATTATTATCAATAAAAATTGTGAGATTTTTCTTGCACTATTGTGTGTGGCTACTCTTGGATTTATTCTTCAACCTTCAAGATTCAACTTAAGGTGGTAAGATTAAACCATTTTCGAGATCTTAGATCACTTCTAGGTATTTAAGAAATGTGACAAGTTTAGGCTTATTGTTGTTCTTGTTATTCTAAACGCGTCGGGTTTCACAATCTATCTCTTGTTTTTAATTCTCTACCAAAGGCGATTAGTTCTTTGTCAGCTAATTGTTGTTGCTAGGATTCAACTTCAAGAATAGACTTCTTGAATTCAAGAAACTCTTTCTTGAATTCAATCTATCTTTAATTTTCCGTCCTTTTTCATTTCTTTATTTTCTTTTAGCTTCCGTACGTTTCTTGATTTTCTTGTTTTTTTAGTAATTCTTGAATTCCCTATCGCGTTGTTATCACTTGTAGACAAATGGAATGTATACGAATGCTTGTATGGCCTTGCCGGCCTATATTTTGAGTTTACAAATGATCATGTTGGCCTTATAGGCCCGTATATCATATGTATAAGTTTGTATTCCTCATGCTTTACTTCGGTTCATTTACCTATGATAGAATGATACGAAAGATACGTTACGTTGTTACTCGGTTGAGCAAGGTGCCGGATTCCCGTCGCGGCCCATCGGTTTGGGTCGTTACATTGGTACTCAGTTGAGTAAGGTGCCGGATGCCCGCCGCGGCCCATCGGTTTGGGTTGTGATAGTTTTGATGATGTCTTTTTATTTTAAATTCATGTATTATGCTAATGTAATAATATTTTTTGGCATTTAGATGATTGTTGTATTATTATACATAAATTTGTCTCATTAATTAAATTTTATTGTTCCTTCATATAAATAAACGTTTAAATCATCACATGCCATTATTAACGTGCAACGCATGTTCTAGATACTAGTAAGATAAAAATGTTGGAAAATGTCCTATGACCAATTCCATTATATCAAAGTTGCAAAAACACTAAGCAAGCAAGTAGAACACCCTGAATTGTTATTCATGATCAGATCATGCATGTTGGAATCAAATTCTTTTACAAAATCCAGAATATTATGTTACAAAAATACTAAGAGCATGTTTGGAAAGCCACCTTGGAAATAGATTTAGGTGTAATTGGGTGTAATTACATAGTTTGCCATGTTTGTTTAGGTAAGTAATTACTTGGTCAACATGAAATTGGGTGTAATTGGAGGGGTGTAATTACACTCTCCAATTCTCAAGGGGAGGTGAGAATTGGTGGTAATTACACTGTGTAATTATAAGGTTACTTTTTAGTTTCTTTTCTTTTTGTTTTTTATTTTAATTTATTTTCTTTATAACTTTTTATTTCTATTATTTTAATTTTTTAATTTTATTTTTACTTTTTAATTTCTTTTAAAATTTTAAATATTATTTTCTTTGTACACTATTTATATTTTATTTCTCTACCTTTACTTCTTGTGATTCTATGTAATTGCTTATATTTTATTTTTTATTTATTTTATTATTGTATTTTTTAAAACTACGCCTCCTAATATTAGAAATAATGAATCATGCAATTAAAGAGGAATTTCGTTGTTGAATGTGGTTATAAATTTATTATGTTTCCTAATCTTAAGTTGTAGTGGAACTTACTATTGTTGTGTTGGAATTTGGCATATGTTAGACTTTTTTTTAGATTTTAAAATTGTGTTATATTCATGGTCCAAATTTACTTGTTTTAGTAGTATCGGCTCACATTGCATGTCGTTCATTTTTTTTAGTTAGAATTGATAGATTAGTTTTGTCAAACATTTAAATAATGTTTGACATTATATTAATAAATATTTATTTTATTTTATCAAACATGAATTCCATGATGTTCTTACAAAAAGTATATTTTTAGTTTTTGTAAGTATCTAAATTAAATATTATTAATTTGAATATGTATACAAATTATTTTTACAATATTACTTAGAAATATATCATTACTAAGTAATATATATTCACGAAAAAACCATACATCTTAAATACCAAATATAATATTATTTTCATTTAGAAAAATTTATAAGCATATAATTATTGTATTAACTTTTAAGTTTTGATAATTACTTCATTTAAAATTAAATGTAATTGCGTAATTACACTTGTGCAACCAAACAAATAAATAAATAATTACACTGTAATTACACTATGACAAACAAACATGTCGTCGTAATTACATAACTATATAATTACTAGACTGTGTAATTACTACCCTAGTAACTACACCAATTCCAATTACGAAGCCAGACTTTTCATTGGGGATTCAACTTCTGTAGATGTAGGCTAGACCACATTTTTATTTCAAGTCAAGGGCAACCTTTATATTTATCATGAATTTTATTATTTTTGGCTTGTAATATACATGTGTAAATAAGTAACCTTTTTAGGAAGGTTATTATTTCTACTCCCTTATTTCTAAGATGCTCATAAAAGGGCAACTCGGTAGACATTCTGTGTTCCCGCAGATTTTGGTGCATCCCAAGGAGTGATGTAGACAGATTACCCTAGCTAATATATACATTAGTGGTTGCTTCACGGCTCAAACCATGAATACAACTTTACCGCTGCTTCCAAGATTCTCCTTCCCAGACGAGTTATAATACTAGTTGTAATACAATGTTTGTGGCCTTAATTTACTTTTGCACGAAAAAATAAGGTAGAATAGTTTTAAAAAAGGTAATTAAATAGAAGAAAATATAATTTATTCTAAAGGTAGAACCGACAATATGGGTCGGGCCGGGCTAGCGTAGCCCGGCCCATGTGGGCTTTAGCAATTGACGGGCTGGGCTGGGCTAGCCCATTATTTTGATGGGCCTTATAATGGTCAGCCCACCCCAGCCCTATGTGGGTCGCGGGCCCCAACGGACCGGCCCATCATTTTTAAAAATATAGTTTTATATTTTTTCTTTAAGTTCTGACCTAAAAAAAGATAATTATTTAAAAGTTAAAAAATATCTTATTGGAAAAAATCGAAAAACTTAATAACTTTTTATATTGTTCCAATATATCACAATAAACACTAAAAAAAGTAAAAGACAAGACTATATTTCATTCACTAAAAGTTAAAACTTTAAACAAACTATTCAAGACAACGTTCATGATGCTTATGAGATATCCAACACATCATCTTCATCAAACACATTTGAATCCGCTTGTGACAAGGTTATCTTAACATCTTCACTTTTATCTACATCTACAATTCATATGCAATATTAATTAGTTAAATATTAAAAATAATTAAATTTTTAAAATTAATAATATTTAAATTCACATAAAAAAAGATTATCAGTTTGATTTTTGGGAAAACCCGTACAACCAATTTCGAGTAGTAACAAGTGTTTGGACATTTTCATAATAAATGCAACTTCTTTACTTTGTAAGAACACGCCACCAATGCTAAATGTTAATCTGATGCTACAATGGTAATAAGAATACTAAGTACATCACGCACCATTATTGAAAGATCGGGATATTTTCTAGTATGGTCCTTCCAATAAATGACAACATCCATCTTTTGAAACTTCTCAAGATCAAGTTTTGGTTCCTCTTAATAAAGATCCAGTTCTAACTTTCCATCTCTAAAGGCGGTATACTTTTTGTTTTTTATATATTTTAAATAAATATTTTATTAGGCCCACGGGCCGGCCCGGTACAACCTCAGTCAGGCCTCACGGGCCACGTGCTTACTCGGGCCGGGCTTAAAAGCCTTGTTTTTAAACGGGCTCTAAAAATTCTAATCCTACCCTACTTAATTACGGGCTGGATTGGGCTGGCCCAACGGGCCAAGCCCATATTAACGGCTGTAGCCCATATTAACGGCTGTATCTAAAGGTAGTTTAGAATAGTTTCACTAGTAGCAATTCTCAGGAAAAAGAAGTAGGGTTCAGCAGGACCCGATTCATCCGGTTACGGCCCAAATGGCTCTACAAGATCTAGATGGTTCTGTGGATCTAGACTTTTCCATTCTCCAATCCGCGCCGTCGAAACAGCAAAACCCTAAAACCCCCAAAACCCTACCTTTTAAATCTCTATATATTCATCGTTTCCTCTTCTACTTCACTTCACTTCACAGCAGTTTTTGACGAAATCTCTTCTGCCTACTCTTAACTTTTTTATTTTCAAAATCAAAACTTCTTCCTATTAGGGTTATTGATAGAGGAATCAAAATTTTCGTTTTTTTTCATATTGGGGAGATCGGTGATGATGAATTCGAAGGCTTGTTTCTCAAAACATTCGCAGTGGCCGCCTAAGTGCTTTCGCCTTCGCCAGGCTTGAGAGTAAATGCTGCTTTTATCCTTCCTTGGATGTCTGAGATTCCCCTTTATAATCCAAACTTGAATGTTGCCTTTGTTTATTTTGAATGTTAGCTGCTGTTTTTAAAATTAAATTACTAAGCAGGCGATTCTTGTGTTTTGATTGATTGATTGAATCTTTAATTATAGAGGTGTCCATGATGATAAATTTGAAGGCTTGTTTCTCAAGACATTCGCAGTGGCCGACTAAGAGCTTTCGCCTTCGCCAGGCTTGAGAGTTAATGCTGCGTTTATCCTTCCTTGGATGTCTGAGACACCATCTTTTCAACTTACCATATTATTTAAAAAAAGTAAAACTTTTGCTTTTTCAACTAGTGGTTTTTGGCCTTTTTTTTGTGGTGCTTGTGCTGTTGGAACTGTCATTTTTGTAGCCGAATTTGGAATATTTATTTCTTTATGTGGCTGAAGTATAGCTTTTTCAATATTATGATATTTGTTATTTGATATCAGGGGATCTGGAACAGTAACGTTTGCTGCGGTCCGAACAAGTTTTGTGAAATTGTTTTTATGTAAATAGAGCAGAATGTACAGAGAATTTATACAATTAGCCTAACTAGTTTACTTTGATTTATTTTGTTGAATCTTACTCTTTCAGTGTCTATGATGATAAATTTTAAGGCTTGTTTCTCAAAACATTCGCAGTGGCCGCCTAAGTGCTTTCGCCTTCGCCTGGCTTGAGAGTTTATGCTGCTTTTATCCTTGGATGTCTGAGACACTATATTTTCATCTTACAAGTATTACATTTTGTAGCTTTTGCTTATTGAACTTACCATTTTAATGCCAAATTTGGAATTCTTAATGTTACTTGTGGCTAAAGATTATAGCTTTTTGGAAACATTATGATCTTTGTTTTATAAATCAGGGGATTTGGGACTAGGATGTCTGCCCCTTGAGCATATGTAAAGTTGCTTTAGGGATGAACAAGTCCCTGACAATTGAACTCCATTCTTCACTTTGTCAGCATTGTTTTATTTAATGCTTTGCTGATCATTATCGGATGGTACACTTTTTTGGATTAATTTGATAAGTTGCTTTGTGTTTTTTTTTTTTGTAAAAATTATCTTGTTGCCTATGATATACATTTTAAGGCTTGTTTCTCAAAACATTCGCAGTGGCCGTCTAAGTGCTCTTGCCTTCGCCAGGCTTGAGAGTGCATGCTGCTTTTATGAACACTTGATTTGTGGTACTTTTATATGATTTTGTTTGTAGTAAATGGAGTATTTGATGAGTAGCTCTAGTTTTAGATGCTTACATCATTAGCTTTTCAATCTTGTCATTCTATCTAAATACATAAATAGGATACCTAGGAACAATTGATGATTTTGTTCTTGCTTGATATGATTAAAGGAGACTAATAATAATGTCACTTGTATGAGTGTAACTCATGAAACTAGTTTTCATTATCTTTTTCTTTCGTTAAACTCTATTTATGGCCCATGATGATAAATCCTAAGGCTTGTTTCTCAAAACATTCGCAGTGGCCGCCTAAGTGCTTTCGCCTTCGCCAGGCTTGAGAGTATATGCTGCTTTTATCCTTCCTTGGATGTCTGAGGCCTTGTTTTCCTACTTTTACTGTAGATTAAGGATCTTTTTTCCTATGCTTTCTTTTAATGCTAACATGATAGTTGATTGTAGGTAAGTTATCATGAATACTTGGTCTATGCTGGTTTTGTAGGGCTATGATTAAAAAGAGAGAGGATAGAGTGAAGTTCTCATTTTTGAATGGATCTTGGTAGATCAAGATGCATAATTAAGGGGTTTATGATTTAGTTGCCCCTTTCTTTGATTCACTGGAAGCTGTTGGCAGCTTGTCAACTAACCCTTGTATCTTTATTCTATCCTGTTGCTCCTTTCAATATGAGATTTTTTCACAGTGATGGTTCTTCCATAAATACACTTGATATGAGCCCTCTCAGTTGAACCAAAATTATGTACAATTTGTGATATAATCAACTGTGCTTGAAAATTTAATAAGGCTTGCTATACTGATTATTCTGCTCGTCGTTTGCCCTTAGTCTTATCAAATGTAATTAGAATGTAGATGCTATATTTAAAGGCTGGCATATAATTAGCAGAACCGAAGTGATGGGTTGATTTAAAGTGTATTTTGCAATAGTAATTTTCCATCTAGTCATGTTTGATGATGCACTAAGAGGGCTATGGGAGTGAAATTTTTTCTTCTTTTGCATGGCTTGGTAGATGAAGATGCAAAATTCAATTTTGCCTACCAATTGATATAATTTATTGCCCAACAAACCAAGGAATTTCGAAAATTATGAACCAAAATTTCAACTTTGAAGTGAATTTGGTAAATTTTGAATGGTAACCAAAATATCAATTTGGAGGAGAGAACGACATTAACGAAATTAAAGAAGTTGAAGATGCATAATATGAACTAAAATTTCACGTGGAAGGATGTTATAAAAGGCTTTTTAGGCCTTGCCTCTGAGCAGGGCACTTGCAAAATGCCATAAGACTTGCGCGTGGGTCGTTTGGTAGGAAGTATTAGAAAACATATTTGATTCATTTTTTTCAAACTTGTGTGTAATTAAGACTTGTGTTAGATATATTATACTTGGTATTATTCTATCTATAAGTAGTCATAGAAAATCATGGCAGTAGTAATATCAAGGCTATTAAGCACTAGTATAGTTAAAGGCACAAGTGTCCTTAAAGTTCCTCAAAGCTTGTGAATGCGAAGGGCATTTTGTAAACAATTATTTTCCTTAAAAATTATGCAATGCATTATAATTTTAATACACCACACCAAGCAGTAGATAAGAAATAATATTTGCATAACTAATGCTTGCGTTATTAATTCATGCATTACTAACTTATGTATTACTCATACACCTTATCATCATTATTATTATACATCTGTAACGACCCGGTCCTTCGTTCTGAGAGTTATAGTCACATTTTTCCCATCTATGCTTATTTATATGTTGTTCAGCTGTGTTGAGTTGTATCAAGTTTGTTTTGGAGTGAAATGAACACTTAGTCTCTTAATTAGAAAGCTAAGTCAGAAAGGTCAACCGAAAGTTGATGAGTAAACGAATTCGGATTTGGATTTTCATGATTCGATTAGCTTCCTTGGGTGATTTTAGAATTAGGAGTGTGTCCGGAATGTAATTTGGAGGTCCGTGGTAGAATTAGGCTTGAATTGGCAAAAGTTGGAAGTTTAAAAGTCTTAGGCTTGAATTCGATGTTGATTTGGTGTTTTGGTGTTGTTTTGGGTATTCCGGAGGTTCGACTAAGTTCGGGTAGTGATACATGACTTGTTGGAATTATTGGTTGAGATCCCGAGGGCCTCGGGTGTGTTTCGGATAGGTTTGGGTTGTGTTGCGCTCGTTTTTCTTATGTTTCGATGCCGTTTCTTCAAGCATAAATGATATCATATTGAACAAATGAGCTCCGATTTCGTTTTTGATTGAAGCATTAGATCCGTATCGTAATTACGGATCCGTAGCAAAAAAATCGTCGAATTTGGACATCGTATGAGGATTTTATGGTCATTTTACTAAAAATTAGGTTGCCAGATTTTTCAGAGTAATTACGAATTTGTCACTAGCAGCGTATTTAAAAATTTGCACTATTTGCAAATATTAAAACCTGCATATCTCCTTCGTTATAAGGTCAAATTGAGTGATTCAAAAGCCTAACTTGACTAGAATTTCACAAGGAATCCATTAGAGGCATAAAATACGAGTTTCGGGATCGTTTGGCTCGAGAAACGAGGCAAAATAGCTGGTAGAAAAATATACAAAATTATGGTTTGTTCATTCGGTCATATTTTGAGTTGGGGAGCTCAGATTTGGGCGATTTTGGAGGCGATTTTCACCATATGGATTGGGGTAAGTGTTCTCTATTCGATTTTGATTATAATTTATGAATCCATCTTCGTTTCTGGGCTTTGATTGATGATTTCAAAGTGAAATTGAGGGAGCTAGGGTTTGAGTATTGGAGAGTTTTAAGTGAGGATTTGAGGGGCCAAACGGAGTCCGATTTTGACAAATTTTATATGGTTAGACTCGGGAGAGGACGAGGATTATTATTCTGCCATTTTTGACTGATTTCGAGACGTGGGCCCGGGGGCTGGGTTTTGGCCGATTTCGGATTTTTGGCATGTTTATGTAGTTTTTATTGTGTAATTCGATTCTTTAGACGATGTTGATAGTAGTATTATGATTATGGTTAGATTCGAAGCTTTTGGATACTAAGTCGAGGGACGAGGACATCCCGGAGTAGGATTTTACGCTGTTGAGGTAAGTAACAGTTTTAACTCTGGCTTTGAGGGTATAAACCCGGAGAAAGTAATATCATGTGATTGTTTGGTGGTGATACCCATGCTAGGTGACGGGCGTGTGGGTGTGCACCGCGAGGGATTGAGACTTGGTCCGTCCCGTGAGGCCAGGCCTAAAAGCTATTATTTGTGATTATGTGTTTACTTGTTGTTGAACTTGTTTGCCTTCATGTTAGAGATCTTGTTTAGATTTTATTCATGCTCACATTATTTGTACTCAGTCATAAAAATTATTGTACATGTTTACCTCCGCCTCTATTATTTGATAATATGTTGTGATACTTGATGTGGGTTGTATCCCCTTATTTGTTGATGATGGTGAGGCTAGTGAGGTACATGATTGAGTGAGGCCGAGGGCCTGGTTGTGAGGATATTAATACCATAGCGCATGAGTTGTCCGCGTAGCACGTGAGTTGACCGTGCGGGTCCAGGTATTGATACCATAGCACGTGAGTTGTCCGCGTAGCACGTGAGTTGACCGTGCGGATCCAGGTATTGATATGGTAGCACGTGAGTTGTCCGTGCTTAGCGCTTGGGCTTTGGGAGCCCCTCCGGAGTCTGTACACACCCCCAGTGAGTGCAGAGTGTTGAGTGTATTGAGTGTTGAGTGTGGAGTGCTAAGTGCGAGTGCTGAGTGATGGAGTGACGTTGCTGTGAGGTTGCATTAACTTTTGATGTTGCTGCATTTATCTGTTAAATTTCTTTGTGGCATTTACCGAGTTATGGAATTTACCTGTTCATTCCTGTTATATTTAAAATTGTGAAAAAAAATAAATAATTGGACTATTTTGCTCAGCTCGTCACTACTGCTCAGTTCCTTAGTTATTTCTGTTACTACTGAGGTGGTTGTACTCATACTACACCCTGCACTATATGTGCAAATCCAGGTGAGTTCGTTGATTTCAGCGCGCTTCAATTGGAGACTGCAAGGTAGTTGCCAACGTCCGCAGGACCTTGTTACTCCTTTCATCATTTCTTCTTTGGACAGTTAGACAATTTATATATCTCAGTTCATAGTTTTAGACGTTCATGACTTAGTGACACCTCGATGTTTGGGACTCGTTTCCATATTTTATAATATTTATATTTAGAGTTGGTTTAGTTTATCAGGAATTAAATTATTGGCAATGTTTTATTAAATTCTTATAATCAAATGAGTAGTAATATTTTGGGAATAGGCTTGCCTTGTAACACGATAGGCGCCATCACGACCATGTCACAGTCTTGGCATGGCAGTCCAAGATAGCGTGATAGGGTGATAACCAGTCCATCCCCAATATAATATCAAAGTCGACCATATCTAAAAGCAACAGATCTACACGAGTCTCCAGACCCCCAATCACCACAACACAAGAGCGATGGACTCGATCGACCATGATGGAATCACCCATCGGCATAGGCACATAAATAGGAATACCCAATGCATCACTAGGCATGATCAAATACAGGGCAAAATAGGATGACACATACGAATACGTAGACCCCGGATCAAACAACACTGAAGCATCTCTATCACAAACCAGAACCGTACATGTAATAACCGCATCTGAAGCCTCTGCCTCAGGCCTGGCCTGAAGGGCATAGCATCAGGGCTGGGCCCCACCACTCTGATCTACCTCTCTGGGACGGCCTGCTGCTGGCTGGCCTCCACCTTTGGCGGTCTGGGCTCCACCTCTATGACCTCTACCTCCACCTCTAGTACCTCTACCCCCGCCTCTAGCTGGCTGGGCGGCCTGTGGAACATCTGGTACCTGAATCGTAGGACGGGGAACCTGCTGCTACGACTGAGTACCCCTCAACCTCGGACAAGCCCTCCTGATGTGACCGTACTCACCACACTCATAACATCCACCCGGATGCTGCGACTGAGGAAACTGAGGCTGACCCTGGCGGCCTGAATGACCACCCCGGAAGCTCTGGAGCGGCGGTGCACTGATAGGAGCTGATCGTGCACTATAGGACTGCTGGTCAGAATGTTGCCTGCGAAAACCACGGTCACCTGATGCACCATGGGAAACCTGGAGCGCTGACTGGAAGGGCCTAGGAGGATGACCCCTATCATACGAATCTCTGCCTCCAGATGAAGTACCACTGAATCATCCTGACTGACGGGGTCTCTTGTCTGCCCTATGACCACCCCCTTATGACAATACCATCTCAATCCTCCGGGCCACATTGGCCGCCTCCTGAAAGGATATCTCGCTCCCAGCCTCTCTAGCCATCTGGAGATGAATATGCTAAATGAGTCCATCAATAAACCGTCTCACTCTCTCCCTCTCAATGGGAAGTATAACAAGAGCATGGCGAGCCAAATCAATAAACCTGGTCTCGTACTGGGTGACTGACACGGATCCCTGCTGGAGACGCTCGAACTGCCTCCGATAGGCCTCTCGCTGTGTAATAGGGAGAAACTTCTCCAGAAATAGATGTGTGAACTGCTCCTAGGTCAAGGCTGGAGATCCTGCTGGTCTAGCTAAACAATAATCCCTCCACCAAGTCTTGGTTGATCCAGACAACTGCAATGTAGCGAAATCAACCCCATTGGTCTCAACAATACCCATGTTCCGAAGAACCTCATGGTAGCTGTCCAAATAATCCTGAGGATCCTCGGTAGATGCATCACTGAAGGTAGTAGTGAAGAGCTTGGTGAACCTATCCAATCTCCATAAAGCATCGGCAGACATAGCTGCCCCATCACCGGCCTGGGCTACCACGCTCGGCTGAGCTGCTCCAACTGGCTGAACTACTGGAGTCTAAATCGGGGGAGCTCCCTGCTCCAGAGTACGAGTAGCAGGAGTCTAGGCCCCTCCTCCAGCCTGAGAGACGACTGGTTCTACAAGGAGTAAGCCTGCTCGGGTAACACTCTCCATGAGACCCACCAATCGGACCAGAGCGTCCTGAAGAACTGGGGTAGCAATAAACCCCTCTGGGACCTGAGCTGGGCCCACCGAAATTGCTGGGGCTGGGGCCGGAACCTCCTCATCAACATCAACCTGAGGCTCCACCACTGGTGCTGCTGCTCGGGGCTGAGCTCTGCCCCTACCTCGGCCTCTAGCATGGCCTCGGCCTCTGCCCCTAGCGGAAGCTGCCTGGGGCTCGGACTGCTGATCGGAAGATGAGGAAGCGCGTGTTCTCGCCATCTGCGAAAGAACAGAGTAGAAATTCAATTAGCGTTGAGAAACCAAACCGCACGACAAGAAAGAACAAATGTGAAACTTTTCCTAACTCGGTAGTCTCTGGGGGATAAATACACACGTCTCTGTACCGAATCCCTCAGACTCTACTAAACTTGTCCGGAGTTGTGAGACCTATGCAACCTAGAGCTCTGATACCAACTTGTCACGACCCGGATTCCCCACCCTCGGGAGTCGTGATGGCGCCTACTGATGAGAGCTAGGCAAGCCAACCCTTAACTACCTTTAGCATTAACTAATTTACTTCTTTTAACAATTATCGGTAATATCATGAAAACGGCGGAATAAAGCAAATAAGCGGAAGTCTTAAATTAAAGAATCTAAACAACAATGCAAAAACTCAACATAAACCTCTACCCAAGAGCTGGTGTCACATACTCACGAACTACTAAGAGTGCTAAATACAACCGTTTGAAAGAAAATATAACTGTTTGTGTCGAAATACATGAGATAACAGACTGAAATAAAAGATAAAAGAGACGTCGGGCCTGCGGACGCCTGCAAGGCTACCTCGGTGTCTCGCTGGACTGAAGGCTAACTCCCGCGCTATTGCAGCTGCTGTCCAACACCTGGATCTGTGCAAAAGAGCACAGGGTGTAGCATCAGCACAACCGACCCCATGTATTGGTAAGTGTCTGGCCTAACCCCGGCGAGGTAGTGACGAGGCTAGTACCAGACTCTAGACAAATCTGTGCAGTTATATAATATATTGCAGAAAATAAATAAGTAATGAGCAGTTATAAGGGAGGGGGGTACATGCCTCGGGGAAAACAATTCAACTTAGCAGAAACTGAATTAAATACGAAGGAACAGTACAATGCCAAAACAATATGATAGCACTACTGCTGCAGCACGCAACCCAACCCGTACGTATAAATATAACTGTTGCGGCGTGCAACCCGATCCACTAATTATAATATACACCTGTTGCGGGTGCAACCCGATCCAATACAATATATGTTGCGGCGTGCAACCCGACCCAATACAATATATGTTGCGCGCGTGCAACCCGATCCAATATAACGTATGTTGCGGCGCGCAACCCATTCCACATATACATAGCTTACAGTAATCATAACCACAAATCCCGGCAGGGGGATTAATCATAAAATACTCTATCCCGGCAGGGGAACTCAACAGTACAAGTATACTCATCCCGACAAGGGAGAACCAGCTATTACCAATCTCAATTCGAATTTTTAACATTTCTATTATCACCATTTCTAACTCATGATTAACTTCCACGAAAATAAGCTAAGTCTTTGCTCAATATCACAAGTCTACTCAATATTTCATCCATAGAATTATTCAAGAACACAAAATGTCAATTTAAGACTCACGGTCATGCTCGACACCGACGTATAGATACTCGTCACCATGCCTATACGCCGTACTCCACAAGAAACACAAAACAAATATGACTCAACTCCTAATCCCTCAAGCTAAGGTTAAACCGAACACTTACCTCAATGCTTTGAATTCAACTCAAGTCTCAATAATGGCTTTACCCCTCGATTCCACCTCCAATCCGCTCGAATCTAGTCACAAGTTACTTAATTACATCAATAAACGCTAAATGAATCAATTTGAATGCATAAAATGACTTTCCCAAACCCAAAAATTTCAAAATCGCCCCCGGGCCCACGTAGTCAAAACTCGAGGTTCGAACCAAAACCCGGCTACCCATTCCCCCACGAACCGAAATATATGATTTGTTTTGAAATCGGACCTCAAATTGAGGTCCAAATCCCCAATCTTTAGAAAAACCTAGGTTCTACCCAAAACCCCCATTTTCTCCCATGAAAATCTTTGATTTTAAGTTGAAAACATGTTAAATGATGTTAATGATTGAAAGAAATGAGTAAAAATCAACTTACAATCGATTTGGAAGAAAACTTGTTCTTGAAAAATCGCCCAAGAAGTTTGTGTGTTGAAAGAATGTTGAAAATGGTTCAAAATTGGCTAAGTGTAAAATATGCAGGTTGCAGATATGGGATTTGCGAACCCCGACCTGATGTGGGAATTGCGAAGGCAAATTCGCATTTGCGAACACTGGGCAAAGGGAGGGACTTCGCATTTGCGACCAAGAGTGTCGCATTTGCGAAAGTCCCAGTATCGCATTTGTGAGCCAGAACGTCGCATTTGCGACAGGCCCCGCTTCGCATTTGCGGACCAAATGGTCGCATTTGCGACCCAGCTACAGGATCCCCTATCTCGCATTTGCGATCACAGGCCCACATTTGCGAGACCTTCTTCGCAAATGCGAAGATTGCAGAACTGAAATGCCAGATTTTCACAAAGGTTAAAAATGCACTCACGGCCTATCCAAAATTCACCCGAGCCCTCAGGGCTCCAAACCAAACATACACACAACCTCAAAAACATCCTACGGACTTATCTGTGCGATCGAATCGCCAAAATAATATCATATACATCGAATTAAGCCTCAAAATCCATGATTCCTTCCAAGTTTCGTGAAACATCAAACTTTCCATTTTAAGTCCGAAACACGTCAAACGACGTCCGTTTTCAACCAAACTTTACAGAAAGTGCTTAAACCATATATAAGACCTATACCGGGCGCCGGAACCAAAATACGGGCTCGATACCAACTCGTTCTAATCAAATTTCATTTCTAATTTCCTTAAATATTTTCAGAAAATAATTTTACTCAAAAATTCATTTCTCGGCCTTGGAACCTCGAAATTCGATTCCGGGCATACGCCCAAGTCCCATATTTTCCTACGGACCCTCCGGGACCGTCAAATCACTGGTCCGGGTCCGTTTACCCAAAATATTGATTAAAGTCAAATTTATTCATTTTAACACCAAAATTTAGCATTTTTCACAGAATTTTATATTTAAGCTTTCCGGCTACGCGCCCGGACTGCGCACGCAAATCGAGGTGACTCTAAATGAGGTTTTCAAGGCCTCGAAAGCACAGAATTAATTTAAAACAGGTGAAGACCCCTTTGGGTCGTCACACTAGAATTCTAATTATATTCTTTTATTGTGAGTTATTATACTTAATATTAAAAGATTATTTTTGTAATCCAATATTTTATTCATGCTTATCATGCGGTTAGGCATTCTTTTTAAACCATATATTCCTATAATCCTATTTATATTTGGACAACAACGATGAGAAGTATTAGTGTACAATAAATATTGATAAAATATTGAATTTACCTCTTTTGTAAAAGTGTTTCAGTTGTTATGAGTCTTTATGACTTCGAACCAATTAAAAAAATTGCACTCTTGGTTGAAATAATACTAATACATCTATGATTAAAATAGGATTCCAAAAGGTAATCACGTAGGATTCCTAACATGTAGTATTATGTCTCAATATTAATAGGATTACAAGGCTAATGTCTAGAATTTCGGTTATGTCCTTTTATTGCGAGTTATTATATTTAATATTAAAAGGTTATTTTTGTAATCCAACATTTTATTCATACTTTTATAATAATATAGATATAGATATAGATATAAATATAGATATAGATATAGATAGATAGATAGATAGATAGATAGATAGATAATAGATTAGTATTTTATAATATTTAAAAAATACCAAAAATATTTTCATTTTAATATATAGTTCACCTTAATAGTTTAATCTTATTAACTAAGATTAATTAGTATATTTTGGTAGTATTTTTATTTTTATTTTTATTCAATGAGAAAGAATTGAATTTGGATCAATTGGAAACTCATTTTTGGATTTTAGTGATCTAGGAAGACAAAAGTCCATTCTTCACAAATCCTTTTCTTGCGCATCAGACTCATCCCTTGATCATAGCCATTGATCTACTTTCATCCAAGGGCCAATATTAATTCCCCATCCAAAATAAAACTTAACTAAAAACCTAATCTCTAAGATCTAGTAGCAGCAGCCCTCCCTTCTCTAGAATAGCGCCTCCTCCCCTTTTCAGATTTTAGACCCATTCTTTCTCTCAACTTACAAAAAGCACACAAACACACAAGAAAGAACGAGCAAAAAAACAGAACAAGGGCAATTTGGAGAAAACGAGAGGGGAGGCTGACGCAAAAAAGGGGTAACGTGAGAAGGGACAAGAACAGTCCAATATATGAAAACGATAAGGCCGTCCTATATTTGAGTTTCCTTAAACCCTTTTACCTTTCACCACTATACACTGAACGATTACTCAAATCTGCATAAATCCGTTTGAGCTCAAGTTCGAAGCATTCTCGTTCAAGTTCGAGTTTGGGTTTCGAGTTTTCCGGTGTCGATTCGAGGTTTCGTTTCGCAATTTTAGCGTTTCAATCCAACCAATGTTACTTTGTTATTCCGATTGAGTTGCAAATTTTCAGCTTTATGCATCCGTATAAAAGGTCCATCCTCTTTTACTTTTAAATAAATTTTGTACTCTGGCTAGCCTTACCCGATCTTCTGTGTTTCTTGGACTTTAAAACATAGTCATAATAATTATTCCATAATAATTATTCCAAGTGGAGACTCTGAATCAAATAAATAATCTCATTTCGTTTGATGTCAAATTACCAATTTTATACAAAATAATGTATTAGACTCTAATCTTCCATACTTTCTCTCCCTCTTCCACCCCAAAACTATGATTATAAATTAACAGAAGAATGTTTGACCTCTTTCTCAGCTTCAGCCATACATTTACGAGAACAAAGAAATTTGGCATCAAGCAATTCTATTACGTTTTCTCTTCTTTTTTTACTTTCTATTTTTTCTATGTTAAACAATAAATGAATTATCATTTTTGAATTAGAGAAGATCGTTAATTTCTGTTAGCTTTTTGGAATCATAAACAAAATAGTATTAATCAGAAGTGAGTAGATTGAATTGGAAATTGGAAACTATGTTAATCAATTACTCCCTCCGTTCCAGTTCACGTCAACCTATTTCCTTTTTGGTCCATTCCAAAAAGAATGATCACTTTTTAAATTTAGAAACAATTTAGTTTAAACTTACAATTCTACCTGTAACGAGAAGCTTTTATAACCACACAAATACTCTGGGACTAATTTCAGAAGTCTTCAATTTTTCTTAAATTCCGTGCCTAGTCAAACAGGTTCACATAAATTGAACTGAGGGAGTAGAAAGCTTAGAAGCTTTGAATTCGAAATATGTAATTTTTGTTTGGATTGGGTGTTGTTCCAAATGATTGGTAATAATCTTTGGAGTTTATATCTCAAATTTGTGAGAATTTGGTGAAAATTTGAGGTGGTTTTGGTTAAAATTTCAGATTGAAACTCGAAAAAGAAGACATAAACAAATTGTATATATCTTGTATGTCGAGTATAGAAATGCTATACAAAATATCTACAACTTATATAATTGTATACAAGTTGTATATAAAATGTATATAAATTGTATGTAAATTATAGTTTTTGATCGGATTCCGTACAAAAAATGTGTATTTAAGTTGTAGATAAATTATAGATTTTGACCGTATTTGTATATATTTTATAAAAAACTTTAGTTATTTTTAATAAATATAAAAACTTAGACAAAATCTGATAAATAAGTTTAAAATCTCGTATTTATACGATAAAGTCCCTTGATTGATATATTGATATTGCCTTTTTACAAACCAATAATTTCAAGAGTGGCACAAAATTTGGGCTCTTTTCTTTTGGGTTCAATTGTGAAAATGGGCTTGGCCCAGAACCAATTGCCAGTTCAAGAGAAAAAGGTTTTCCCGGTGGCTGAACATATATTTGATATATACGCCAATTTTATAACCGGCGAAAAGCTCAGCAAACCTCTATAGTTGAAGTGTAATCAGGTGACTCCTCCAGCTCATACTCTTTTAACACACTTATTTTTACATGTTCTTTGTGAAGTCAAACGAAATCCTTGCGTTTGCTATGCTCATAAGCTGTTCGACGTAAATCTTAAAAGAAAAACCACAACCTTTAGGTCTTAACACAACTCATATTTGGGATGCTAATAATATAAATTCCATTTTTGAGATTACGGATATCACGTATATAAGCTTCTGAAGGAATTGTTGGGCGATAACGATCGCATTTGGAATATGTAGTAAATTTAAAAAAGTTGTGTATGTGTAAATAACATGGATGTAACTCACTAATACTAAACCTGAATTTGGCTATGATTAATTGGGAGAAGGTAGAAAATAATCGAAACCTTCCCCCCTCCCCCTAAAGATTGAGGACTTGTGAGCCTTGCGCCATGAGAACTAGTCCGAGTATTTAAATGGAGAAGGTAGAGGGAGGAGTGCCCATTAACCCGGAGTTCCGACAGTTGCTGTTGGATTGGCCCAAACAAATCCTTATTCTCTTAAGGGTCTTTAAAAAAGCTATCTTAAGTTTGGTTGGGCAGTAACTAGCGAGTTGGTTAGCTAAGAAACTTGACATTGTTGCTTCAATTCTCTTAAAGGTTAAAAAGGTTCAGTCTTTTGCTGGCATAGTTTACGGCCCAATTCAAGTACTCCATCAATATTGAAGCAATTTGGAGGACTGCAGGTTTATCCAATGGGAAAAGCATCGAGGGACAAAAGAGTATGGATTTTATTCAGGATGTTGTTCTTTTTTGCTTATAACCAGAAGCTTCATCCTTAACAGGTTTCAATTTTTTAGGATATTTACTATCGGAAAGCAAAGGAAGAAGGATGGCGTGCCCGTAGCGCCTTCAAGCTCCTTCAGATTGATGAGGAATTTAACATCTTTGAAGGTTCTCTTCTCAATAACTGGCTTGGAATTTTCGTTGTTTATTTTTCCTGATTGATTCCACATGTAAGGAAAGAGAGTAATATTATAAAAGTTGCTGCATTTTATCTTTACCAAGAAAAGAACGGCTTCTCGTTATCAAACTGACTTTATGAGTAAAATCTTTTATTACTGGTGATTTCTCTTTGATGGATCTGGAAAAGTTGGCAGGTCTTCGTTAGTTCATTACAATGCAGCTCCTGATGTATAAGCCCTTTTATGAAAATTAAACAAGTTGTAGACAAACTAAATTTTCAGGTTCTGTAGCAATATTTTATATGGACTATGGAGAACAAGATATCAATTTCTATGTTTCCCAAAATATGTTTGGTTAGAGCTTGAAATAATTGTATGTTGAATGAGTAGATGGATACTAGTACTCTCTTTCAGCAAAATGCTGCAGATTAGGAGTTCACCAATTTTATTTTACATTGCTTTGTTGGTCAGAATTGTTTGTTTGTAGAACTTCATTAATTGCCCTATCTATATGCAGGTGTGAAGCGAGTTGTGGATTTGTGTGCAGCACCAGGCAGCTGGAGTCAGGTATTTACAATGGAACTTGGTTAGTTGGTTATTGTTGTTTTTGTGTCTGGGTATAGCTCTGTAATCAATAATCACCTGCTATAAAGATTTGCCTTTTTAATTTTGTTTTGTTTTATTCAGAATAACACAACTGATATCTTTAGCCCTGTGCTTACTCATGCTTATTTGAAAGGATTATTATAATTTAGGCAGAATATCCTAATAGGCTCTTGCACTTATACCGATTTGTCATCCTGGTCCTTGTATTTTATAGTTTGTCAGGTGAACACTAGTACTTATTCAAACTCTATATATTAAACCCTTTTTCGAAGAGGTCAACCTGCGTGTAACACAATTGCTTCCATGTAGGACTCCACGTCATTATTTAATGCCACATACGAAATAATATATTAAATATTATATTACCCCTCCCCCCCTCCCCCAAACCGTATGTCCCTTATTTTACACAAGCTGTTTCACTTTCACTGTTTGTTCTCCTTCATCATCTTCTCCGTGCTATCTCTCCTTCGTCTTTTTTCATTAAATTTCTGGTCATTGTTTCGTGCCTTTCTTCCGTCGTTCTGTGGCAAGTACTGTCATCTCTTCTTAACTCATTTTTTTTAATCTCTTTTTTAATCTCTTTTTTGGTTCGTTTATTAGTTGATGGTTGGGTTAGGTCGGTGATTAATTGCTCTTGAGTGTGCCTGAATATTAGTTTTTTCTTTTTGTTTTGTTTTGTTTGCTTACTATTTGAACTATAAAACCCCTTTGTTATAGTTGTGCATATAGTAATATATTCAGTTATTCCGTTTCGTTTTAGTTTTTTTTTTTGTGGGTAAAATCCTAAATTAGTCTTCTGATTTTTATTTTTCTGAATTATGTTGGATTTTATTCTGGGTTGTTGTCCACCAAGTTATATCATAATATTATAGAAATTTTTGGGGAAGATATAGGGTTAATCTTGGATGCTTTATCAGATAAAAAATTAGGTTTTTGTTTGTTTATGGAGTCCTATAAAGGCGTATTTCATCAGCAAGAAGGACGAAAAATCTGAAAAAATTAAGGGAAAGAAGAGAGATGATTTTGTTAAATACCCAAGAGAGTTCCAACTAGGTTAACAATGGAAAATGAAGAAGAAGGCCATTAAATAATGGGAAATGTTACTGTTACGGTTTTCTAATAGGCCTCACGCCCCTAAAAGGCGTGTGAGTCACGCACTGAAGCCAAGTCAGCTTTATAGTCTCAGTCAACGGTCATAAGGGTTTAATATATAGAGTTTGAATAAGTACAAGTGTTCACCTGACAAACTATAGAATACAAGGACCGGGATGATAAAGTGACACAAGTATAAGTGTCATTTAGGCTATTCTGCCTATAATTTATAATCATTTTAAGAGTGATATAGATTTTGGAGGTGGATAGGATTCTCAAGTTTTCAACATATTTTTGCATATATACGTATTTACACTTGTGTGACTAATGCCATAGGACAAATGTTGTCATATGTAGAGGTTTGCCCCCCCCCCCCCCTCTCCATGTGCCTCTCTTTTTACCCAAGGTTATCACTATTATGGTGTCCTATTTTGGTCAAACTTTTGTTTTTTGCCATATGATTTGGCTTCTAAATTGAAAGTCTTTCCCTCTGTGCTTTCGTTAAGCTCTAAAGGAACAGACCTACATAGAACATAAGAACTGAAAATATCTTGAGAATTAAAAAGAGGGAGTTCAGTCTAAGCCCGTTAAGTACTATGTTTTAGACTGTACTTTTTGAACTTTACTAGGGAAATAAATGGAAAGAATTTTCCTTTTCTGATTTTTAGAGGTTCTCATTGGACAAATATCTACGTGCTGTTGGATTTGGCATGATGTTTTATGGTGCACCATTATTGGCTTGTCTCTGGTAGTACCATTACTTCCCACAAAGAAAGATATGAAGAAGTAAAGAAATATAATTATGTGCTACATGTCTTTCTCCTTATTGTGTGCTCCATTTCCAAGTTCCTAAATGTTTTTATTCTCTTTATAGGTTTTAAGCCGGAAGTTGTATCTCCCAGCAAAGTTGTCACCTGATACCAAGTATGTATACTTTCCTTTTTGTAGAATTGATTCTATGTCAATTGCTCTTTCATCTGTTCGTCTTTTTGATGGATAAATCATATTAGGAGCTCGAGACGGTTGTCCAGGTCAATGTTTCTTAATCCAGCAAATATCTTAGTCACTTAGCTAGTTAGTCTACTAAGAAAAAGTGAATAAATATGCCCATTGTAATGATATTATAAAGTTGTCTTTTCAAATCTAATGATCGAGTGTTCCTGTGTAGTTGGTGCTTCTGTGACTTGTTTTGCCTTTTGTCTCATTTCTTCCTAATTCAATCTTTTGGAAAGAGAGTTAATCAGCATGCTATCATATTCATCATGTAATAATATGGAAGAACAATTAGTCATGAACCACAGCTTCAGCTTGCTGCATCCTCTTCTCCTAGATCCTAGTAACACATTGACCTTGCCCCACATCACCATGTGGAATGGGAAAAAGTTTGCTCTCCATTGATTTTTTCTAATGGTGATTGATTTAGGCTATTGACAAGTTTCCTACCTTAGAGGCTTGCCGCTGCAGCTATGATACGTTTGTAGGATAGGAGATTTTAACATTCACTCTTCGGCCAACTTTAAAATTGTAAAAGTCAAGTTGCTACCACTTATACTGTTTTTTGTTTTCCTGGCCATGTCACCAACATGTAACGTAGGTGCTACTATCTTTTTTATTCATGTGATTTCCAGGGACGTCGATCTACCACTTATTGTGGCTATTGACTTACAGCCTATGGCTCCCATTGAAGGTGTTATTCAAGTACAGGGTGATATAACAAATGCTAAAACAGCTGAAGTGGTATGGATTCCTATGCTGTTTCATTTATTTAATTTGAAATTTTGATTTTTGAAGGCTGGCTTGTAACTTCCTAATTAGGTTTCGAGAATTACTAGCATTTTGGCAAATTTGATGCATGTGCACTTTAATGAATCGAGATAATTATTGTCTATGGCATGTAATACAAAAACTTATAAACTGTGAGCATTGATTGTGGATGAAAATTGATTTTGGATATTTCTCTGGGAAGATAAGCAATTTCAGTAGAAAAGAAGCATTTTGCAAATTCTAGTGTTTGTGTTTTTTCATAATGTCTTCCATTTGAAGAACGAAATTCTAAAGTTGAAATGGATGAAGCAGACATGTTGAAAAAATTGACTACCTAAAAGGAAGTTAACTTCCTGTTCCATAGTAGAGCTATTTGAGAAATTAAAAATTAAAAATTAAAAAAAAAAAAAAAAGAGCATTTAGAATGGATGGAGTATTCAACGGCTGAGAAAATTTAGTAGATGGAACAGTTATATCACTCTACTTTCTTACTTTTAGCCATTATTATTTCTTTTGTTTAATTTCTCTTGAAATATCTTAAAGAAATTATCTCCCTTAAGATTCAATGCAATTTTCATCTAATATATAATATCATAATTTTCCTTTTCTCAGATATCTTTTAAAATGTTATACTGTAGCAATTAATACACTTGGAGATAATAAGTTTCCGTGTTATAACTACTCATACAAGAAATTAAACAGTGTCGTTAAGTTTAAGTTGAATCAGGAAAAGTGGGTTTATTAGAATCTAAATTTCACCACACGAGAGATTGAGTTAGTAACTCTGGTTGATGTTTGAGGGCATGATCAATAGAAAGGATGAAAAAAACAATCATTCTATATTAGCAGTTTGAGGACATTGTTTTTCATGATCAATAGAAAGGAAGAAAAAAACAATCATTTTATATTAGCAGTTTGAGGACATTGTTTTTCCCCATTTTATGTCGATTAGACACAATGCTCAGAGAAAACGAAGGTTAGGTTTGGAATGAAGGTGGCTAGTTTGGTGTCCAACTGCATCTTTGAGAGTTCACGTGTAAGTTAGGAATAACTTTTATAGCACAAGAGGCATGATCCATGACTTCAGGCTGTGAAAACATTGATTGAGGCAAAAAATTAGGGATGGTGCTGCAATTTTGCTCAACAAAAATCTTATACATCCATGCTACTCAAAATGTTGTAATACATTGGGCTTCTTATCTTAGTGTGTTCATCTGTTCTCCTATTATCTTCGTTTTTACATTTTCTCTTCTTTGTTTTTTTTGTTCTTCAAGGAGTATATTAGGAGATATTAGTATTATGTTATTTTCCCTCATGCTTTGTGGTTAACAGTTTTTATGCATCATTGTCAATTTCTAACAGGTTATTAGACATTTTGACGGATGCAAGGCTGACCTTGTTGTCTGTGATGGTGCACCTGATGGTAAGAAATTGCTTTCAACTGCCGTGATACATTAGTTTGGTCTTTGCTGTATTTGATGAAACTAATCTGTGCTAATGTTAATCTTATGTTGCAGTAACGGGACTTCATGACATGGATGAATTTGTTCAGTCCCAGCTGATATTGGCGGTTAGTTTCTAAGAGAAAATAGGTGGAATTGGTTTAGTGAATAATATTCACCTCAATATAGCAACACTGTAATAACCTACAAGGCACACTCATATAGATGTGTAGTTTTCATGGCTTTGCTGCATGCCTGCAACTATAAAATTATCAGTGCCATTGTTGTCTAGGAACACTTAAAAGTCTAATTAGAAGTTCCTTGTTTTCTACTATTTAGGATGTCTGAAAGAAATGCCTTTTTGTAAATCTCCACAATAAATTGTGTTTTCTTTTGAGGAAGATGACTAATTCTTCTTCTATCTGGTGATGTTATATCACTATTTTCACTTTGCTTCGTATATAGATTACCAAAAAAAGAAAAGAATTGTTTCTGTATGTGATTCGTTTTTAGTTTTTTGGTATCCTGCTTATAATGTTCAATTATTCCTTGAAAGATCAGTTATATGTGCTTAAAGAGATGTTTCTCATGTAAGTCTGCCATGTTGTTCTCAGTCTCTGTTTGGAGATATCTCAGTTGTCATCTGGGTGGTTGAACTTGCAGGGCCTAACCATAGTCACTCACATACTAAAAAGAGGCGGAAAGTTCATAGCAAAAATTTTTCGAGGAAAAGACACAAGCCTTCTTTACTGTCAGGTTCATTGCACGTGTACTCATTATTTTTGGATTTAGTTTCTTCACTCGTTCAAGATCTCATTTAGTCTTTAGAGGAGACCTTTGTTTCTTGTTTTCTGCTTTCGGATGTTCTACGTTCTTGGGTTATCATGGTGGATTGCTTATGTTTTGCCTTCAAAATGCAGCTAAAACTATTTTTCACGGAAGTGACTTTTGCTAAGCCAAAAAGCAGTCGGAATTCTAGCATAGGTGAGTAGCTAATGTTTTCTACCTTGTTTATGTGGCAAATTTTCCTGCTAATGGAACCCATTCATTTGCGAGCTCTTGCTAATTAATAATGTTGTAATATTTCGTGGGAAGTTGATATTGTAAAATTTCAAGGATTTCAGTATTTGCTTTATGCCCTTACAATCTAGAAAGGACCCCATGTTTGTCGTTTCACACAGAAATATTCATAATATTGATTGCTTCCTGTTTCTTAGAGTGCTGGTAGTATCTTTCTAGCCTTTGTTGTTGTTACTGTTCTATTGTTTCTTTTCATCTTCTTGAGTCGAGGGTCTACCGGAAACANCTCTCTTTCTCAAGAAGAGTTAAACCCACAAAGCTAGAATCAGTGTTTGCAACCACCAATCCTTAATTAAAACCTAAAATCAACCCAAATAACAAACACCCAATATCAATCTAACCTTANAGGTTCTGCAGCCTCCCAAGGATAAGTACAGACGTCTCCGTACAGATCCGCGAGACTTTACTAAACTGGCTCATGACCCGTGAGACCTATGTAACCTAGGCTCTGATACCAACTTGTCACGACCCCAAAAGACCCCGGTCGTAATGGCGTCTATCGCAACTAGGCCAGTCGATTCAACACTTAAAACATCAAGGTCTTTTTCTTAATTCATTTACTAATCAAATATGATCACAAATCTCTCATTTTAATATTTCAAAATAAGCGGAAACAATTACGCAGAACATCAAACACTGCCCGTAAAACACCAAACACTGCCCGATCCCGGTGTCACTAGTCATGAGCCACTAGAATACAATCTGATACTGTCTACTCAATACAAAAATGAATCTGCTAAATAAAATACTAAAAGATAGGAAGGAGAAAGGCAGGGATGCGGACGCCGTGCAACTACCTTGCTAAATCCGGAAAATACTCTGAAGGCAAAAATCAGCTCTCACTCGGATGCTCTGGCACCTGGATCTGCACACAAGGTGCAGGGAGTAACGTGAGTACGGCAACTCAGTAAGTAACAATTATAAATAAAGGCTGAGTGCAGTGACGAGCATTTAAAGTCATAAACATATCATAACATAGAAATCTCGGAGGAAATAACAAGATCAATTTAGTAGATAAATTCTGAACCCAATGAAAAGTCGTTAAAATATTTGTTCAACACTTCTCAATAGAGGCTCAGTAATAAGAAGAGTGAAAACAATATTTCCATAAAAACCATCCCCTCAGGCAACATGTCACTCATATATATAGCCCCTCGGGAAAGCCTCTCAATCACTCGTGACTCAACTATCATCGATCAGCACTCACACTCAATAGATATCTCATGATAACCGGTACGGTGTGTAGCCCGATCCATAAATATATAATCGACTGCGCTCACTAGGGGTGTGCAGACTCTGGAGGGGCTCCTACAGCCCAAGCGCTATATCGCTGCGGTGTGCCGCCCGATCCAATACATCGCTGCGATATGCAACCCGATCCATATATACATATATACATATATACATATATATATATATATATATGTATATATGTATATATGTATATATGGATCGGGTTGCATATCGCTACACCGCGGCGTGCAGCCCGATCCATAACTATCCTCACAATCCGGACCTCGGCCTCACTCACTCATCAACCTCACAAGCTACTCGGGCATCTCAGCGTAAACTCAGGGAACTCAGCCCAAAACACTTTCATAAATACTAAAATAGAGTGATGAACAGTATTAAATAGTAAACAGGTATAAACCATAACTGATGATAAAGTTTTCTATCAAAACAATGTGAGGATAATAGTAAAATACCCCTGAGGGTCCAACAGTACGGTACAAGGCCCCAAACATGGCATTCAGCCCAAGTTAACAGAAGCATTTCTAAAACATGTAGTTATCATATGGAGTTTATCAAGATATGCAACTCTACTTTTGCCACGGGACGGACCAAGTCACGATCCCTACGGGTGCACGCCCACGCGCCCACACGCCCGTCACCTAGCATGTGCGCCACCACATTTATCAAAATATGCAACCCGATCCATATATACATATATATCTGCGGCGTGCAGCCCGATCCATAACTATCCTCACAATCCGGACCTCGGCCTCACAAGCTACTCGGGCATCTCAGCGTAAACTCAGGGAACTCAGCCCAAAACACTTTCATAAATACTAAAATAGTTGATTGCTTCCTGTTTCTTAGAGTGCTGGTAGTATCTTTCTAGCCTTTGTTGTTGTTACTGTTCTATTGTTTCTTTTCATCTTCTTGAGTCGAGGGTCTACCGGAAACAACTTTTCTATCCAGGGGTAGGGGTAAGGTCTGTGTATACACTATCCTCCCCAGACCCCACCTGTGGGATTATACTGAGTTGTTCTTCTTCTTATTGCCTTATGATATTTCTGCGGAGTTACTTTGTATATCCGGCTTCAACTTTGGTTATTTCTTTGAATTAGCGGTAGGTGTTTTAGGATTAGTGGAGTCTATCAGGTATATCAAATGCGAATTGGAATGAAACTTGGGGTGTGTGTTTTGTACGAAGGAAAATGTTTTTCAATTTTCTCATGTTTAGTTGGGTTAAATATTTTGGACTATATTTTTCTTATAAACTCATTTTCCTCCAACTGGGGGAAAATGACTTCCCTACTAAGAGGAGGGAAATTCATTTTCCAAAAAATTTTTTTCAACTTTCCTCACCCAAAGCCTCTCCCCCAATCCACACCTTTGCCAACCCGCCCCCAAACCCCTGACCTTCCGACCTACACCACGACCACACCCCAACCACCCCGAGACAAAATGGGTGAGGGCAGGGCAGTGGGGGTATAGGTTTGATGTCGAGGTTGCGGTTCGGGATTGGGCCTAAGGTCCGGGTCGGGGTTCAGGTTCCGAGATAGGGGTTGGAGTTTGGGGTCGTACCCTAGACCCTCGGCCCCGACCCCCGACCACAACCTGACCCTGAATTCCAAACCCCAACCCTGGACCCTATCTCGACCTCGTAAACTGATCCCGACCTTGATCTTGAACCCGACTGTAATCTCGACCTCGATCTGGATCCTGACCCTATCACCAATCCGACCGCGAACTCCCGACCATGACCCCGAACCTTGACCCTGGCACTAACCCATCCCTTACCCCGGTTCCAACCCCAATTTGGATCCCTGACGTGCAACTCCATCGCCTCGCTCCTCCCCCACCCTCACCCGTGTCATCTCCCATAGTATTTGCCTAGATTATATATTTTTCATGACATTTTCTGCTAACTAACCAAACACCAGAAAAGAAAATAAGTAAGAAACTACTATTTTCCAAGAAAAACATGTTCCTTTATGCCCAACACACCCTTGTACTTGTATATTTCTGGGTTTGGAAGATATCTTAAAGCAACACTAGAATTGCTATGCACATAAATCTAATACTAGCTTTACCTTGTACAGAGGCATTTGCAGTTTGCGAGAATTACTCTCCACCTGAAGGATTTAATGAGAAAGATCTTCATCGCCTTCTTGAAAAGATTGGAAGTCCATCTGGCACAGAGGACCTAGGTAATTTCCATATGCCGATGCTTCTTCTCTAAATAGCCTTTTACTTTATGCTAACTTTAAATTTTGCCACCTTATGTTTTTTGAGGCAAGTGACATGGATCTTAAATCTGCCTCTATATCTTTTTCTTGGTGTTGGAATATAGTTTCTGGTTGCTGTTTTATATGTTGGAAGTAATGTGGCTTCCATTTTTTTAATTCAGATTATATTTAATAACGACTATATTTGTATTTTGCATCATCTTTCAAGCATTTGTTACATGACAGATTGCAGTAGTGCATGGCTGGAAGGTCCTAATAAGGTGTATATTCCATTTCTGGCTTGTGGAGACCTTAGTGGGTACGATTCAGACCGTTCATATCCACTTCCTAAAGCTGCAGACGGAACCTATCAGTGTTTAGATCCTGTACAACCTCCAATTGCACCGCCATATAAACGAGCTCTAGAAATGAAGAAAGCGTCGAGTCAAGGAATCCAAAACCTAGACAAGCTTTCTCTTGGCACCTGAGCTTACCTTCCAGAATCATTCCATTCTATATTTGAAAAGTCGCTTATATGTCACTAAATGTAAGGACTCTTTATTGTGTTAATTGCACTTGCAATTGATAAATTTAATGTGTTTTGTTTAGTCTTTAGACAGTTTAGAACCAGATGTGAGTCATCTAGTTGTGCCCCAGGGCTTTTGGTTCACTGGCAAAGATAGTACAGCTAGGCGCACGTCACTGTGATTTGATTCCTCTTGTGAACTTGTATTGAAGTGAGGAAGGGTAGGGGAGCAAGCCCATTATCCACCCACGTTAGGAACAATTGATTTTTCAGTTATCAAAAAAGAATGATTGTAATATACTTGTGTAATAGCAAATTTTTGTGTTGTATTCCAAAAGTTTATTTTGAAACAACGAAACGTAATTGTGTCGTAACTTCTTTTGTTTTCTCTAAGACTTGGTGTGTTGCAATTTCCATGTGAATTTGAGTGCGCAACAAGTATTTCTTCCTCTTTTGCAGTCTACCGACTTACGCGTTACACTATACAATAGGAGCAATTTTCTTTCAAGGTACTCTTGCAATTTTCAGTTAAAGTCCAGTAAAGTAGTCAACAGTCAATTCCATACAACAAATGGGTCAATAGAAATTGCCAAAATTCAGCTGAAACCGAGCAGAAAATGGCAGCAATTTCCTCCTCAGCTGCATCTCTTTGACACTCCTAAAATCCCATGATCTACTTTCTGCTCCAGGATATCACCATATAAATGTTTATTTGCACGGAAGGTGTAAAATATATTTACACAATTAGGTTGGATATAAGATACTTTAAATGAAAATCTGTTTTGAGCATATAGTGTAAAGAATTTTTATATTATTTGTTAAGTTGACTTATAATAACACGTAACTCTCAACAAAACCTAAAATGGTAACCCAAAAAATAAAGTCCGTTAAATTATACTGATAGTATAATATTTTTGGGGTACTATAAGTAAGGACAACTTAAACTCTCATTTTAAATGAGAATTTAAGTTTTCTATTTTGTTAGTATATAGGCTTCTTGTACTATCAAGTAAAGTTGATCTATGTAATTTTTCATGGCAAATTTAATATGGTGAATTAAAATATAAAATAATTACTGACTACAATAGTTAGATTATATTGATAATGTAAAAATCATTTTTCATAATCTCGGTTTATCAAGCTTAATTCTTTATAAATGAGTCTCTATAATAGGCATAATTGGTAACATGTTAGAAATAGTATTCACTTCGTTCCAATTTAGGTTGGTCACGGAGTTTTAAGAAAAGATAAATATTGTTGGGTATAATTATCTTATTAAGAGTAAAATACAAGAAGTTAAATATAAACATGTATCATTTTTGTGGGACATGCTAAAGGGACATAATATCACCTAAATTGATACGAAAGAACTAATTGATTTGCTCTCACAAATTAGATTACACTAAAAATTATTTAAAAAAGAGTTACACTCTCTGTATGGCAGTATATAACTTAAATCCGATCAAGAAACCAACCGCTACTGTCTCTTCATCAAATTACGGGAAGAACAAGTTAGGTATGAAAGAAAGAAAGAATAGAGTTACATTCACAAGCCAGGACTATGTTCACATTCATAAAATCCAGTGCCCGAAACAACTTTTACAGCTTTTAGTATAGAAAAAATTATGTGACACATCAAACATATCTATTGTATTTATCAATCGTAGTTATACTTTCATAAAATCATCATTCGTAGTTATATTATATTTTATAGCAAATTCATTTATAGTATCGAAACAAGAGAGCAACAAGCTCTCATAGATCAGTTGGTTAGAGCGCATGCTTATTAAGCAGAGGTATTTGTTTATTTTATTTCGCCTTGGTTGTATTTGTTGCGCGAACGAATACAGGCGATACAGGTTGTATCCCTTGTATAACCCTATATTTTGCCGGTTGTATTCGTTGGGCGGACACATACAGTTGACATGGTTGTATTCGCGTCTGAGTACATGTATTAAAGCTGGTAACAATTGCACAGTAGCTACGAATGGTAATTAAGCAAACTATAGTTGCGTATGATAATTGGGCTCTAAACTGTTGCGCTTTATGAAAATTCCTCTTTAGTATATTTCAAAAATCTAATTACTTAGATTTAACTTTAATTAATGTTCTCTATCGAATTAACTCTTTTAACTATTATTTCTAATAGCTTTTTCATTATTATTTTTACAATTTATCACTCAAATTCAAGTTTTAAAGATACCCATAACTTGGATGTATAAGGTAACATTTTGATAAAAACTTGAGGAAGATTCTTTTGGGATTGCATGAGTTAGACAAATCAAAATTCATAAATCTTGTCTGCCGGCCACTAACTAATGAATATTTAGTGGTGATAATTGCCATCTATCTGCATTTAAGTATAGGGAATACTTACCATTTAATTTAGATTATTAATCAATAATTATTATATATAATTATTCCTTTCGCAATAAGTGATCAATTTGCTTTTTTTTTATTTTGGACCAAAATAAGTGTCCATTTATATAATCAAGAAAAAAATCAATTTTTTTTTACAAAATTACCCTTATGTACACATCCCTAAAAAGTTTTCTTACTCCTCACATTAAATATTTAATTAAGGTTAGTTTAGTTATACTAAATATTTTTGTATAGAATTTATTATTTTCTTAATGGGCGTGCCAAAAACAAATTGATCCGTTATCGTGGACAGGAGGGAGTATATGTTATCATTAAATGATATAATAGTGCAAATATTCTTTACAATATAAGTGCATAGACTTAAACTCAAATAAATAACAAGTACAACTGGAAGAAAGAACTTACATAAAAAAAAAAGTAGGAACTCTTGAAAAAAGAAAGGATAAATATAAATAAATACACCCAAAATCTTCAAATTAAAGCCGGGCGTTACAATATGATGAGGAATCTTCTGCTTCTATGCTACTCTAGCTAATTTACTAATTCCAAAACAACTGAAATCTTTTGTTGTATGAAACTTAATTCCTACATAATAAACAATTAAAATGTCTAAATATTTTGTCCTCCTCAATATATTCATCTACATAATTACAGTAGCATAAAAACTATTCCTTTTGGAGAAGAAAAAGAAAACTAATAAGAAAAAAAAAATATTCCTCCTGTGTATGTTTGATCACATCGTCAGATAAAGGAGGAGGGTTATGGTAGAATAACCGCCAGCATAAAACTTGCGAAATTATGATGAGTCCTCATGAGCTTGAAAACTTGTTTGAGATTGAGGCGTAGTAATTGTTATTATCGTTTAGGAGAAAAATGAAAATAAAACTATTGGCAAGTAGTGCTGGAAACAGAACTGGACCTGTGTAAACAAGAAGAAGAATTCAAGAACTCAATGCAATCTTCAATAGCTTCAGCTCTTTGAGAATCATGAATTGTTTCTGCATAAGAACGTGATCTTGCTAAGCTTGCTGATGATACTTTACGTGATGACCTTTTTCTATTGGAATTCGAAAGGAAATTTAGAGCACTAGCCACTTTAGTTCCAATATTCTTTAGAAAACTAGCCACAGAAAATTCAGAAGAAGAAGAAGAGGTTTTTTGAAGCCTAGAATTCCAATTAGATGATGAAGATGGCTTCTTTTTAAAGTAAAAATTATTTTGGTCATAGAAATGATCAGGGCTAAAACTGACTCTTCTACTCATTTTTTTTTTTCTTTTAATTTGTGTGTTATTGGAAGAGAGGGAGAGAGTTTTGTGACATGAAGAATAGAGGCAGTTGGGAAAATGATGAGAGGTATTTATTGAGAGTTGAAGAGAAAGAAAAAGATTACTACTACTCCATATATGGCCCCATTTATTTTTCAGTTTTTATTGTGGTAATTAATAAAGAAAAGAAGAAGATTCAAACCTACTTGACCTATTTATTGTAATAAGACAGGAGAAAAACTTTAACTGATATTCTGCAACTTTTCATGGCCCATATTCATATCAGTTTGACTATGGACCAAATTAGTCTTTATCTCATTTATTTACTCTCATAATTTCATGACCTAGACTAATTAAGCTATTCATGCATTCCCATATAAAATTTAGCTAAGTAATATTGTTGCAACTACTTATTTGTGATAAAATGGGTGTGAATTTACAAATATATATCTTTAAGTTCTATATATATATATATAGTTTCAGTCGAAAATAGTGATCTTGCTGACACATGCTCTACGGAGAGGTGATTGTTGGAGCTTAAGTGCAAAAAGAATTAATTGATGGTCTATTTGGTATTTGTAATAAATAATAACAAGTCTTAGTTGTTGAATCTATATCATTTTTATTAGGTTTAATAAAATGAAGGGTAACAAGTGAAAATTGAAAGGTGGAAAAGAAAACATGTACAAGAAACTAAACGATACATTAGACTTTGGATAAGGGACATAATGACTTTGATTTGTTCAAGATTGATGAAACGTGCATGGAGGGCAATCATGAGGTCAGTATATATCACAACTACTTTTACAAAAGTTGAAGAGAGATCATTTTCGAATAATTAATCATCTTCATGTACCATTTTTATTTTCTTGTTGATTTCTTGTAATGAAGAACTTCTACCGTGGGCGGATTGAATCCATGGTCTTTCCATCAAACTAAATAATTTATGTATATATTTTTTGGAATTCGCCTAATATTATCAGTTGAAAGCTGAATGATAGACTTGATTGAATACTGAGTTATTTACCCAAAAAAATAAGGATCAATTATGATTTTATTTTTTTCTCCTTTCTTTAGTGACACATCCATACTCTAGAAATCCTATATCCACCTCCACCTAGATCAGAATAGGATCACAATTTGGCTCCTTAAATCTTAGTTTCTAATTTATCAATGTAAATTAGAAATTTACCGAACCGAGAAAAGATAAAATTTGGTCAAGAAAGGAGAAGAAAGTGTGGTGCGGATGGCGGGCCCCTACTAGGAATGGGATAAAGTGAAATAATGTACATTATCTTTTTTATTTTATTTTTGGTTAAAAGGAAGAGGGCGAGAGCTTAGGTGGCAAAGAGAAAACATGAAAGGGATTCATAAATTTTTACAAAATTCAAAGTATAGAAAATAAACTAGTAATTAAGTAAGTGTATACACTGATGGATGCAACTTTTAGGCAATGAGTTCAGAGTATATATATTTTCGTGTGTGAAAATCGAACTGATATTTTTGCAAATATAGTACATTTAAATCATAATCTCAAAAGATAATTAGTGGTGGAAATAATAACTTACAAAAAGTGTCATCTCACACTTCTTCATCGGAAAATATCTAAACATACGTGTAAATAATGTACAATCAGTGGCATCGTGTGCTTACACAAAATTTCACATACGTCACAAAGTTCAATCCATCAGTATTAAAAAATTTAAAAAAACTTATTAATTTTAAA